CTGTGCTGGGCTTTCAAGAGCGGCGTGTCAGTCTTGTACCTGGTCTGACGTGCGAATAACGATTCGTAGCCTTGTTCGCCTGATAGACCCTCATTACAAATCGGACCGCCAGGCGTTCAGTTTTTCCACTGAACTATTCAAATTTTACACTGTGCATCGACATGCTTATACATCATATAAAGGGCAGTTTGACACTCTCGACATCCATTCCACGATGTTCTGTGCGTCTTGACAACGCTCTTCGTCCAATTTCCCAATATATTCAAAATGGTGTTTTAAATCATGTGCGTGAAAGTTCCACTAGTAAAACAAATAGAATTGGCTAATTTTCTTAAGAACCATTTTGAATAGTGTTACTTACAGCCAGCGCCAACACAGATTGAAGGGGCACTAAAGTGATTTCTTAGTTTGCAGTTTTCTTAGTTTGCAGTTGACGATGGATATTTTTTGTGAGCATCTTGCCAGAAGCACTGATTTCAATCATGCGTCTAGGACGGACTTTTATTCTCAAGTTCGTCGTCACAGCGGGAGAACATATCAAATGGGTTCAGCAATATAACATCAACCGTGATGCTGAACACAAGTAAGCTACTTTTCTAATATTGATTGAAAGGTCAAGGAGTTAACAGACATTTCGAAAAATTACCCAATCATCAAGAAGCATGTTGTGTTTGTAGGTACACGCGATCTGTATGCTGCCGTCTGGAGCGGTAATTTGAAACCAAAAGTTTTAAGCAAATGGCACGTTGCCCGCGCGTCCATCAGTGTGTGCACGTCAGAACGCACTGGTGCACGTCACGTCAAATTACACTGTAGCATGCTCCTTGGGCTTGGATAATTTCGAAAAAACATCTACACTTCGTTTCACGTTATCTGCGAGCGAAGCCAAAGGTACAAGTACAAGCAGGCTGCCTTGAATAATGCTTGCAATCCACAGGCACACGTGCGAAACAGGAACACTCAGAGCGCTGGGCTCGCACTTCTAGCTTTGACTTCGCTCGCGCATAAGGCGATACGAAATATGTTTGCAACTTGTGGACGGCTCTGAGACACACGACTGAGGTGTTTGAAGCATGGTAGGCTTAGGGTTCCTAGGTAGGATTTGCTTGCTTATTTTTTTCCGGCCTAAAAAGAACGCACGCGAAATATAAAAGCACCACGAGACAACGCGCCCTCGTGCCGCGATTGGTGGGCGCGTTGTCACGTGGTCGAGCGTCCGACACTTCTTCGCTAGAATAATCTAGTGTGGGTTCGCGTATAGTACCAGCTGAGGTGAATACAGCACTGACTCTACAATAGTAGGTAACACTTCCCCCCAAACCTCGCTTCTCCCACCGATAGGCTTCTACGCCTATGACGCGTGATGAAGCGTTTTCTTCCAAAATGCGGTCGCTATGTAAAAAGATGAAAGGGTGTGAGGGGGAACGAGCTATAAGAAAGGAGGTTAAGATAGCGGTGAACTGACGCACCGGCGTTTCAGAGTCCGTTCAAGGTTGATACGCCACGTGGCGTGAAAGTCAGGAACTAGGCCGGCATGTCCCAGAAAGCTGGCCATGGAATGTCGTGAGTGAAAGATAGAAGCTGAGTTTCACATGACAATGATTTACGAAATCCGTGCTGAGCTGTGGTGAAAAAATTATTCATTTCTAGGAAGTTTACAAGATGGGAAAATATGATGTGCTCGAGAAGTTTACATGGGATGCTGGTTAACGAAATGGGACGATAGTTATGAGGAGAATGTTTGTCACCAGCTTTTGGAATAGGGACCACCTTCCCCACCTTCCAGTCCGAGGGTAGGTCACCCTCTTGGAGTGACTGTTCGAATAATTTAGCAAGAATAATTGAAGAATATAACTTGGTGCTTTTAAGAAATTTTGAATTAATGCCGTCCACTCCTGAAGAAGAAGACAATTTCAGCCCATCTATAATCTTAACTATACCAATAGGGTCAACAAGAATAGCATCCATTGGTAAATAACCGGCACACACAATTGAAGGGTAGCTTATGTTACTAATATTGGAAAATGATTCAATAAACACATTATTTAGTATATTAGCGCAGTCATCACTAGAGGCACTATCACTACTTGACGTTTTGAGTAAAATTTAAAAAGTGTCTTTCTTGCTGACAGTGTTCCAAAACCTTTTGGGGTCATTTATTAACATATTTGGGAGAGTATTTGAAAAAAAAATTGATTTCGCATCTGCAATCGCCTTTTTATATACTTCTGCAGACAACTGATACGCAGCCCAGCGATGCCCACAAGTTGAAAACTTCGCAGCACGATATAAGCGTTTTTTTTTATTTGATAACCGTTTTAGGGCTTTCGTAAACCATGGTGACTGGGTATTTTCGAATATATTTCTTAGTGGGACATGCTTGTTGATAAGAGAGATAAATTTCAACTTTATGATATTCCAGTTATCTTCGACAGAACGCCCCGAAGAAGTTGTTAGATACTGGTTCAAGAAAATGGCAAGGTCATTATTAATTTGCTCAAAGTTGGCCTTTCCGTAATCACGAATTTGTTTTGGCTGAAAAGTGGGTCTCGTTGCCGACGCTTTTAGAGAAAAATGCAGCACTTTGTGATCACTAATCTCGGGCAGATATGTTATGGGAGTTGCATACTCAGGATGATTGGTCAAAATGAGGTCTAATACATTGGCTGTCGACTGGGTAACTCTGGTGGGATGGAGAACAAGTTGTGAAAGGCTAAAATCTAGACATAGGTTAATAAACGAAATACATTCCTCAGAATGTACATTTACACAAGGAACGTCGTTTGACCATGATATAGATGGGAAATTGAAGTCGCCGAGAAGAAAAATTGGAGCACCCGGAAAACGCACCATAATGGTGTTAAGTGTATTATGTAACGCTTCGACAAATGGCAACGAATACGAGGGTGGCCGATAACAAACTCCCATAATCCACTTCTTATGGTTAACAAGCAGGCCAACCCACGTTATTTCCAACTCGTCCACAGAAAAGGATTTGATATGATCAGCGATTGCAATTAACACTCCACCGCCACATCTTTCCTGTCTATCATGTCTGTAAACATTGAACGTTTTGTTTCCATCGAACAGTTCACAGTTTTGTATTTTCCCGGAAAGCCACGTTTCGGTTAGTACAATGACATCAGCATCGGTGGTATCTACAATGGAACACAATTCGTCGCGTTTTTCAGGACATTTCTTATAAAAACAACTCTTATTGAAAACAAAGTAAATGGTTGTGCCATATGCCAAGTTCACCGGCGGGCACCGAGGTCGGTACAACAAACACCATGGCCATTCCCGGAAAATGCATGGTCACGTCTACATGTTGACTTTGGAGGGCCGTTTCAGGGCATCTATTTCTTGGTGCTAGTTGATGCGTTCTCCAAGTGGGTGGAAGTGCACCGGGTGCCCTCACCATCGGCTAAAGCCACAGTGGAGTGCTTGAGATCAATCTTTGCCACACACGGCCTACCTGATGTGGTCGTTAGTGATAACGGCCCGGCGTTCGTCAGTGCGGAATTCAAAGAATTCCTGGCAAGAAACGGAGTTCATGCTATCACTATTCCACCGTATCACCCTGCCTCAAACGGCGCTGCAGAGAGGGTGGTACAAACGATAAAAGAAAAGCTAAAGAAAGCTAAACCAGGATGTTTCGAAGTCAAGATTCCCAGAATTGTTTTTAACTACAGAACGACGCCGCATCACCTGACTGGACGAACACCAGCAGAGTTGTTGATGGGGCGACGCCTGAAGACTCCCCTGGACCTGCTGCACACAGATCTCCGAGTCAGAGTAGGGTTCAAGCAGCTACAGCAGAAGGAGCGAACGGACAAATCTGCAAGAAGAGACGGATTACCACAGCCTGGTGATCGTGTCTGGGCTCGAAATTTCAGACCAGGAGATCGTTGGGTCCCTGCAATAGCTGAGCATCCCACCAGTGCATCGTCGGCACGAGTGATGTTGGAAGAGGGCGGCACCTGGAATCGCCACGGGGATCACCTGAGGCAACGAGCACCAGTCCCACCACAAGACACCTTGGATGTGCAGCAGCCATTCGAGAGTGCACAAGACAACATGGATGTGCAGCCACCATTGGAGAGTGTAGTGAACATGCCTCTTGGACAACAAACTTTCATGCGGCCCGAAGACAGCGTAGCTAGGCAGACACCATTAGGCAGTGTGGTAAACCTACCTAGTGAGCGTGTGCGTGACATGAGTGGTTCTTGTGTGTCTAGAGCCGATATACAGACTCCGAGTGCGGTGCGGGAACGCTCAGGACAGGATGTGCAGGCCGAACCTGTGAGAAATGACACTTTGAGACGTTCAACTAGACAGCGCAGACCTCCGATACGGTACTCTCCTTGATTGACACTGTGAGTTGAGGGGGAGGAGTGTGACAGTTGTAACAAGGGAGCTGCAGGTGACTACGGCGGTAGCCGCACGTGAAGGGACTAGCTGGTGCAGAGCCAGAAGAAGAGAAGGACGACGGGGCTACGAGGGGCTTGGCAAGTGCTGCTGTTCCGGCGAGCTATAAACCATATTTTGTTATCTTAACAAGTGGCTCGGCGTCTCGGTAAGGCAAGAGAAGGTCGTCTATGGCGGCTCAATTTAGCGCGTGTATAAAAGGTCTATACACTTGATATGCGTGGTTTAGTTTATTACTAGGGAACGTTATACCATAGTATGACGGAACGTTGGCAGGCAAAAGACACATAGAGAAGAGGACGTGGCGACAATGACCTATTTGCGTCTCCTTTCCAGAGAGGAGTAATTTTGCCCCACTCATCACACCCACATGCTATGCCAGTAAATCAGTCACGCGTGCTCTCTGCATAGCGCATTTGATAGTGTTTCCTTACCCAATTCCCAATATTGAGAATTACTAGTCTCAGCTTCAGTTATTATAATGCATTATATGAAAGAGATGTTAAAGAAATATTCAATGACAACTGCGGTTGCTTCAGAATATTTTACTTTTGTCTCTGTTATTCACCATTTTATTTCCTCTCATGTCCGTCCCCTTCACCACTTCCTGCTAGGCTCTCGGTCTCTTCACTGTCAAGAATAGTAATAGGAGGGCCCGTTCGATCCGCGTTGCATAATCCATCCGTGCAGTTTCCCAGGTAGCCTTGTAGGATAACCGTTCCGTTTTCGCAAGTAATTTTTTCTGTAACGAGCTTCAAAAGTAAACCAAGAAAATATTGTATGTCATACAATAATTTGTCATTTCAATGCCAAATTTGTATGCGTCCCTCAATAAGCTTTTTTAAATATAAAAAAACTCTAAAGAGAAATTTTTATCCAGGAATTATAAATTTAGTTGCATTTTCACTCTCTTATGAAAGTGGCGCTAATAATTAAAGCTACATTCCGATTTTTTTTTAAATACCCTGTAGATAGAAAAATATCCAAAAAATAGGTGATCGTTTATTTTTTTCAAATAACACGCGTTGAACCAATCAGAGTAACACACTGCACGTAATAAAGAGGTGGTCCGGTAAATTCTTGACGGTCATTGACTTGCTTCAAAATTGGTGTAAAACACGAATACACAAGACGAATTAAGTAACCCATTTAAAAGGTAAAAATAATTTCTTTTAGCGAAGTTATTTTTATATTTAATACTCGCCACAACGTCACACTGGTAGTCTCTACTGGCTACATTAAGAACGTGACGACTGATGTACAGGAAGAAACAAGGATACGCCAGGCTCTTTAAATCGACCGGAAAATTTGGTTTCTTAACCTATCACGCTACGACTTTGTGCAGCGCTGCCCATAGATGGTGCTTTTTATTTTTTTTTTGTAAAATTTCCAAAGAGCGAACTTACCTGAAAAAAATTAAAGAAAGAAAATGGCTTAGCTCCTATGGAAGCGCAGTGACGCCACCGGTCTGCAAACAACACGGCGCCGTTTCGCACGGGAAACAAGAGATGGCGGAACGAAAGCCGCCAACGGACGAACATACGGCGTCGAGAGCCAGCGTCTTTAGCAGACAATCTTTTCGACCCAAAAGCGCCGCGCGTTCCGCGGGCGGCGACAGTCGCAGAAACAAAAACAGGCGCAGTAACAACAAGGAACTGCAGTTCCTTGTCTGCTAATTACGCCGGCTCTCGGCGTCGTCTGCTCGTTCGTTGGCGGCCGTTGGCGTCGCGACCGCTTGCGCCATCTCTTGTCTCCCGTGCGAAACAACGCCGTGTTGTTTGCAGACCGGTGGCTTCGCTGCGTTTCCATAGGAGCTAAGCCATTTTCTTTCTTTACTTTTTCCTGAGGTAAATTCGCTCTTTGCAAATTTTACAAAAAAAAAAAAAAAAAAATCACCATCTGTGGGCAACGCTGCACAAAGTCGTAGCGCGATAGGTTAAGAAACAAAATTTTCCGGTCGATTTAAAGAGCCTGGCGTCTCCTTGTATCACCCTGTAGATAGAGGTTCACTATTTAGGCAGTACAATTTGTTCCCAACGAATTACATGAAAGTTAATGGTATGAAATTATTGATGTGGAGGCTCCCTCCAGCTCTCGCTGACCCACAGGAAAAAAAATTGTGTGACATATTCTCTTGCTCAGACGGCCTGCTCCACCGGCAAGCTTTTCAGCGTGTGACTTCACACTGCTAGGAAACGCTGAAAAATTCTACTCTAGGTTTCGACATCTCATTTATTTGCCGTTTTCTCAAAAGCAATACTGAATTTCAAGATGCCAAATAGCGCGCCGGGTAGAGTGAAGCCTGGGTATGTCGGAAAAGAAGCTGTAGCTTCGGTAGTATCCCAAAGCAGTCGGAACTCGCCTGTAAGCGGACGAAAGTTTCAAAAAACGGTTTGGATCGAACACACAGTCTTCACAGGAGTGATGATCATCAGCTTTTGCTTGCTCAGATCTCGTTCTTGAGTCAAACCATTTGTGAATTGTCACTCGTTTAACTTTCACGGCAGGTCGAAGTTAATTTTTTGCCATGTATTTTTGGGGTAGAGATGCGCGAACGCAGTTTGAGAGTATTTTACGGGAAATCGCAGACTATAAATATAACAGTCGGGGGGAGTGTAATCTAATTAACGGCAATGCTACAAACAACCTAAAGTAATGCAGCACCTGTGATGCCCCAAAAAAGTGTAACATTGTAGGAGGCTTCGAATGGCAAATGGGTACAAGAATTACGTGTGTTTAATATATACATCTGCGCTCCCTGTTGAATGGTCGAAGCAGTACTCAGAGAGATTCGAAGTCAGATTGTCAGCATGAAAGCTGTAAGAACGCAATATTCAAGCTCTGAGTAACGCCCAATAAACTCACATTTATTTTTAATGATGACTAAAGCTTAGTTTAAAAAAACAAGTTTTGTTAATGACTATCACCAAGAACGCCGAACCCTGGTTCCAGGTCTGGATTTATCACTGTGCTTAATTTCCTGAACGATCGCTACCACATATAAATGTGTTTGTTGCGTAAAAACACTTTAGAATTTGATGTGTTTAGAATAACTCATACACGCTTGGCGCTAATTAATATTGGAATCAGTTGTGGCGGAAAGCAATTGTTTTAGTGCGTGAGACTGAACTTCAGGTGCAAGGTAAGGTAAGATGGTCAAATCTACTATTGTATTGAGATAATTTTAATATCCTGAATTGGAATATGATATACAATACCGTCAAATGCAGCACGAGCACGGCGGTTTGCGTTCTGTGTTGATTCTGCAGGCTGTTCATCAATTACTTCCAAAGATAAATGGCTATTATTAGAGGAATTTTCCTAACAACACTCCAGCGTGCTACGTTGCCAATGGGATTAAACAATGCTTCTTTTATTTGGGTTTAATACTCAATTTCGTTACCATTTGAATATTTACTCTCCGCGCGCCTCCGTTAATTGATACATTTTTTTTTACTTTTCGGTCAAATACCCATTAATTGTCAAGACAATCAAATTTACACCGGTCAGGTCCTTTTCACGAATAAAAGCAAAACGAAATCCGTATGTTTCTAAAGAACCGTTTGACGTAACTAGCGACTATATCTTAAGTGGTGAGCGTCAAGGTGTAATTAGTATGTAGTTCAATTTTTACTCGCATACTTACAATGCAAAGGTTATCTGAAAGTTCGAGGGGGATTGTTTCGGACTCATCCAAATTATCACGAGCTTCAAGTGAAGTTTTGGCATGTCCACAGGTGGCCGCACATCCTATTGTAGCCTGCACATGAATTTCGCAGCCTAATAAAGCACCGCATATTTTGGCTGGAATGACACTCGCGCGTGAATATTAACTCACCTTTTTTCCGTCATACTTGACGTAGTGATATATGCACTGCCCCAGACTCTTCGCTATAGAAGCTTTAAAAAAATACATTGGGAGATATTGAATACGGTATTTTCTGATCTGTAGGTCACACCTTTCTATACTCCGCACCCCCCTTATAAACGTTCGTTTTCAAAGAAAAAAAAAAACAACTTTTTGTTTATAAGTGCCACCTTTGGTATAAAAGTGTATTTGTTCGGTCGGAGGGGCAAAACTGCTTTGAAAAGCCTGCATAGAGTATTATGATTGAAATGTCTGCGCACGCGAGAGAAAGTTTCTATTTTCAATAAAAACCTCGTTGCAAATTTTCGCACTTAACATTCGTACCGGTAGGAAAAATTCACATAAGTCGTATCATTGTATACAACGCACCGAAATAAATTTTTAGAAAACGAAGCCGCGACTTACGGCAAACTTTTAATTAGTCACATAAATAACATTTGTAAATAGAAATTATCTATATGCTCCATAGCGACCGTCAAACTACAATTGTTTTTGAGTTGAACTGCTTGGTACTGAAGTTGCTAATACAGATCTACATAACTCTTAAATATACTGTAATGAGGAACCGACATTTTCACACTTTTCAACACATTAGAAATGCTAGATTTAGAGAAAGATTTCTTAATAAACTACAAGCCAAAAAAAGTTTTTGTTAAAAAAATGTACTGCGAACAAATAATGTAAAGTTAGAAAAACCTAACCGCGATAACTAAGTTCGTCGGTCGGCAAGAAACTACAGAAATTTCGGTTTTTGCATCGGTCTCTGCAATATTGAGGGTTCATGAGCACGTCTGTGGATTCGGATTGAAATATAGAAATTGCCATGAGCTTCGACGAGCGAGCCCGTGCGTGGCCGAGTGGTTGCCGCGCTTGACTGTCGTGCGGAGGCCCAGGGTTCGATTCCTGGGAGCGAATCGTCTTATATTTATTCTTTCAATTTAGATTTCTGGTAAATACGAGAACCCTGTTGGACATGCTCGAGGTCCGAATGTTCTACGCGCAGAACCTTTTACGCCGATTGTTCCAGAAGTCCACGCGTCTAAGGGACTCCTCGTGGCGAGCCGCAGTCAGCTTCACCCCAGCGCTCGATCCTGTTGTTTCGCCGACATCGACCGACGCCTGCGACGCTGACACTGATCCATTATATTTTGGGAAAAAGTTTGCCCCATTAAACGTTTAGTTTCTGCAGTTAACTCACCGACTCATTCTTTGTCATTCGTGACAATATTAGCTTGAAAAGTTAGACATTTATATTTTTTGTAACGCCGAATTAGAGCGCAGCTCTTGAGGAAGAGGAGGGGAGGGTGCGGTGGGGAGGGTATACCCCTCTTCCTTCCCCAGTAAATTTAGCGGGGAACATTTTTCACCAAATTTAGCGGAAACATTTCACCCTCGTGACGTCACACGTATCGTCAAATATGACGTAACGACTGTACATTTAGCGGAAAATGTAGCTGAAAAGTTTCCCCGCTTAATTTAGCGGGAATATTGGCGACGTTAGATCCGTGTGACATCACGTGACGTCATACGTCACTTGTTTCTTATGATGACGACACAGGTGGCGTCACGTGTGACGTCACGAGGGTAACCCTCGTGAGGGTAACCCTCGTGACTCTCGTGAGGGTAACCCTCGTGACTCTCGTGAGGGTAACCCTCGTAACCCTCATGAGGGTAACCGTCGTAACTCTCATGAGAGTAACCCTGGTGACTCTCGTGAGAGTAACCCTCATGACCCTCGGGAGGGTAACCCTCCTGACCGTCCTGAGGGTAACCGTCAAAACTCGTGAGGGTAACCCTCGTAACCCTCGTGAGGGTAACCCTCGTGACGCTCGTGAGGGTAACCCTCGTAATCTTTACGAAGGTAACCCTCGTGAGGTCTTTATGAGAAACTTACCATTATGCAACGCGCGGTTACGCCGACGGCGACAGCTACGGCCTCACTGCTCAAGCCGGAAACGGGCGCCTAAGAGCTGCGCTCTAAAACAATAATTGTTTTACTGGCCATCCGACTTTTATGATACATAGTTGACAGCGCAAAACGTACGATGCATTAGAAGCAATCAAATTATACATAATACTGATGTCTTGCGAATAATGCACTGAAGTTATTTGCACACAGCACGGCACACGTACCGCTTATTCACACTGGAAGCGGATCCGCGTTCGCAAAGCGGTTGCGAACGCGGTTGTATGAAGATCCAGTACGATTGCGCGCGCACTCGATGACATCAAGAGCGCGTGCAGTTGTACTGGATTTTTATACAACCGCGTTCGCAACCGCTTTGCCAACGCGGATCCGCTTCCAGTGTGAATGGGCGGTTAGGCCCAACAGATGCCAGTACTTCGCCGTGTTTTAATCATACCAAAAACAGTGCATGCGTTCAATATTCCCACAGATCAATTGGAAAGCTAATCACTGTGACCTACTGGAGAAGCTACGTGAATGACGAGGCAAAAAAGTCAATCAGTCAGAGTCTTGAGAGCAAGGAAATCAAAGGAAGTGTTGCTGAGCCGGTAGCTCAATATGTCACCTTTGTTTTGGGGTAGAGGAGGGGAAGTGAAAGATAAAAGGTGGGGGAAAACATGCTTGATCCAAAAATAAAGCTTGGGTTGAGACACTGAGCTTCTTCAGGGTCGAAGGGCATACTTTATATTTACGTCTAGAATGTAAAATCTATGCATAATGACTATTCAGGACCAAAGTTTTCAACAGTCGCAGAATATTATTTTATTAAATATTTGAGTCATGTACTGAAAACTGGCTAAATGTGTAGACCGTAAGAGACTTTCAGTCTTGATATAAAGAAATGTTAACTAGCTTAAGATGAAACGAAGCAACGGCATACCCATATTCTGGTTCACTATAAGTGTGAGCTAAGCCGACGCCACAGGCGCGAGAACGTCGTCATGAACGACGTTTTCACAATACGAGTGGCGCGTGCAAAGTGAGCCTGCTCAAAGTGTTGAGCACACTTTTGTGGCTTGTCCTTCGCTCACACTTATAGTGAAATGGTGTATAATAACTATTCGCTCTCATATTAAGACAAGGTTTTCTACGCGGTTTATTTCTGAACGCTTATTGTAAAGTCAAAATACAAAAACTCAAAAGTAATGCAAATATTTAGCAGTTGATGTGCAGCATTACGCAGCTTTATCCAACGGGATCAGAGATGGCAGTGGTGACATTACTGTAATTAAATGACTCTACTGAAAATAAGTTTTGCTGTAATGAATGACGTAATGAATTATCTTTCTGCGCTGGTAATTTATTAACGTAATGAATTACTTTCAGACAGTAATTTTGAGGAAATTGTCACTACTCATTACTTTTTTCCAAGGCGCATCTGAGGCCAAAATCTGTGACGTGGGAGTCGAGAGCAAGACGAAGACACAAAGGCGAGGTCGAAAGGCGAAGCGGATTAATAAAAGCGTTCGAGTGAAGGCATAGCTTGAAGGCCACGGTTCACGAAACTCCAGGCAAGACGCATTCATGGAGAAAAGGAATCGGGGACCGTTCCAGGCTACAATGTTGACGGCACGTTACTACCAAGATCAACACATTTTGGAACCTGTGACGAGTCAGGAGTTAATCTCATACCTTCTGCCAAGGATCCAGAAATTCCCGTGAGTTGCCTCGTCCTTCGTAACTAAAGATTCTCTTCGTATGCTTCGTTCACCCCTAAACCTGACACTGCGGTGGAACCTGTGCGCTTGCTGAGGCAGTCGTGCGAACAAAAAGTGAGAGCGAGAGTCAGTGTTGTAAACTCAAAATAGTAGAATTACCGGAGACTTCGGTGACGACAGAAAAACGGCAACAAGAAGGAAAGAAGTCACGCGTTGATCTTTTGCCACTTGGTCAGGCCCCCGAACAATACCCAAGCGCAGGGAGAGAAGTCAAGTGATGAAATTGAGGCGGTTGACTGGTCCGACAAGCATCTGGGTATACCACCGCACTATCAGCTTATAAGTAATCGGAACATAATCGGAAAGGGCAAAAAGCCAGCAAAAAAGGCTCACGTTGAGAAGGTAAGTCAGAGAAAAGCAAACGCGGAAATATTGTCACGAAGGACAAGTGATGAGGCGGCGAATAACGGAGTAAACTGAACGTTTAATCGGGCGAACTTGTGTTAAAAAAGTAAAAGGAAAAAGAAAAATAACAACAGAGCGTCGCGGGCGTCGAAGGCGGCGAAGCAGCAAGATCGAACGCTGAGGCGAAACTGACTCGACAAGGTCGCGGGCGGCCTCTTATCAAGAGTGAGTCACTATCTCGAAAATTCGGCGGAGAAGGTTCGAGCGTAGCGCGCTCGGGGCGATAATGAACACGCACTTTCTAGAACAAGAAAGCAGGAATAAAGGATGGAAGTTGCGTCCGGAACAAGAATAAACGAGAACGTTCTAGAGCTCCGTGACCGAGCGTTGATTTCCCGGCACAGCGCGCGGCAATATATCCGCTGCTTCTTTGGGGAAAGACTCATATCTGGAGGCGTCCGCAACCCCTTTCCCTTTTTGGTGGCATTTCTGATCAGAGAAGACACGGCTCCTTGCGTGAAAACGCGAGATAATTCCCGCTCTTCTGGTATTATGGAATGATACTCCTCGAGAAGAATGTCCGGGAATGCTTCGACCAGTACTCTTGAGAGAAAACGATTCGACTGCGTCCGAGTGAGAAGAAATATGTTTAGGAATTTCCCCAACCTTGTGCAAAATGAATTCGGAAAATATGGATCCCGTTCATTAAAGGCTTATAAGGGGCAGTTACACTCATCTCGCAACAGTGGTTACGACTTAATGTAAAAACGAGCTGGCTTGGCCCGACCAACCGAAGTGGAAAACTTCTCCAAAATCAAGAGGACGCAATCACATCAGCCATTGACCGATCGACCTCACCGTTGAATGAAGAGCGAAACCGATGAACTGTCTGTTTAAGTCGTGTCTTAAAAAGCTCTACATCATGTTCAAGACTTCCGTCATTACGAGCACGCATTACTGCAGGAAGAAATTTAAAAGTAATTATAAAATAATTTTATTAATT